GCTTATATCGAAAACTAAGCATTTGCCCCAAAAATGAATAGAAGTGAAAGTAATCAGCGTATTAAACTGTCTACCCCCCTAATTACCGAACCACTGACGGTCACCATCGGTTAAGTCAGGTTAGCCTTAATGTTATGTTGATTAATTATCAGATGAATTAAGCTCCCTGCCAAACCTGGAGAAGCTCGTGTTGTGTTCTGGAGAAGCTCGTGTTATGTACTGGAGAAGCTCGTGTTGTGTGTCTGGAGAAGCTCGTGTTGTGTTCTGGAGAAGCTCGTGTTGTGTTCTGGAGAAGCTCGTGTTGTGTTCTGGAGAAGTTCGTGCAGTCCACTAGTTATTATGTTACTATATGCATGAAAATCAACTGCAATTTCCGGGTCACACACACACACACCACACACACACACACACACACTCCAACACAAGAACTGAGACAAAAACACATTGCTTAACGAACCTTAAACAAACAAACAAACACAACACGAGAGCTTTCATAAGACTTCACACTAAACAAATAAAACCAAGACCAACGGCCTGATGAAATGTAAACAGTTGTTGTGAGGAAAACAAAAACACTCGATAATAAATGAGGAAGAGAGTAGGAAGATGCTGGTAAGAGAGGAGAGAGGAGGAAGAGAAGAGGATGGTTGTAGAGAGGAATGAGAAGGTATAGGGAGAAAGTGGAAAGAAGAGGAGGAGGAGGAAGAGGGGATAGGAAGGAAGAGAAGGAAATAAGGAGGAGGATGAAGAAAAGGGAAAGAGGAGGTAAAGAGAGGAAAGGAGGAGGAGGAACGAGGAGGTAAAAAGGAGAAAGGAGGAGGAAAGAGGAGGCAAAATAGGAAGAGGAAGAAAAGGGTAAGAGAAGGAGGAAAGAAATGAGGAAACGGAGAAAAACGAAAAAGATGAGGAGACACAGAAGAAAAAATATGGCGGTGGAGGTTGAGGGAGGAACACAAGAGACCTGTCCACTGCTGTGTGTTATTAACCCCGTCCTTAAGATCCACTGTATATTTTAGTCAATTAGTCTGTCTATCCATCAAGATTATCTCGATTGATATTATATAAGTATACTACTTTGCTGTCACTCGTAAACGAGTATGACGATCATCCAGCTATGATGAAATGATATGAGTTATTAAGGATGTCACCTTCGAGGTAAGCTCTGAGGTGACTCGAGAGGCCGAAACTGGACCGGCAGGATCGTCCACAGATGTTGCACGTGTAGAGGGCTACAGCTAGTGCGGGAGGGGCGGCGGCAGCGTCTTTCCGGCGTTGGCACTTGTCTACCTCGGTATACAGTTGGACTAACTCGAAAGTATTGACACCTTCTCGTGTGGTGCTCCTCCAAGGGTTACGATGTTGAGTAATCGTCTCCCAATTGAGGGGGTCGATTTGGCACTTTTTTTCAGATTTGTCCTTACACCTTTTCAGTTGCCCGCCAGCGTTACGTTTACTATTCGTTTCACCTAAAGAATATACAGTATATACGGTACTTCTAAAGCAGATCAATCTATTTATCTAACCATCTCTATCTATCTCTATCAATGTATTCCTCTATCTGTCTACCTTTCTATTTACCAATCTCGATATATGTGGCAATCATCTCTCTCTCTCTCTCTTTTACCCTCACATCTCAAACATCCACTAAATTCTTCTGGCGAAAATATCCCTGACGCGTTTTTTTTTTACAATATTTCACCATGATTTAAATTCCATGAAATTTTGTTCACATAAAATACTTGTGACTCAGTTAAAGAAAATACGACGAATAATAATAATACAATAATAATAATACAATAATAATAATAATAATAATAATAATAATAATAATAATAATAATAATAGTAATAATAATAATAAAATTTATACATTTTGGCAACGTATATTCCAGCGAAATTAGAAAGGTTTGCATTAAGGTGGAGTCCAGCCCTCGAATTAGTATTCATGAGTGAGCGCTTGAGGCCAGGCTTGAAGATAAGGGTCCTTTGGTAGGTTTTACCAAGTTGCATGACTGCTTCACGCGGGTGGTGGGAGGGCTGATGACTTCTCCCCCTCCTTCCCTCTTCGGTTCCACCACCACCACTACCATCAAAACTACCACCACTTTCAAAACCACCACCGCCATTTCCACCACCACCACCACCATTACCACTATTACCACCACCACCATCGTCATCACCACCACCGCCATTACCGCCACTTCCATCACCACTAGCACCACTACAACCATAACCACCACTGCTACCATCATCACTCCCACCACCACTTAAATCACGACTACCACCAATTTAATCACCACTACCACCACTGCCGCCACCACCACCACCACTGCCGCCACCACCACCACCACCGCCGCCATTATCACCACCATTACCACCACCACCGCTATTATCACCACCATTACTACAACCACCGTCATTACCACCATCGCCATTACCACCACCATCGTCATTACCACCACCGCTAGCACCACTTCCACCGCCACCAGCACCACTTCCACCATAACCACCTCCGCTACCACCACCATCACTTACAGCACCACCACCACTACGACCGGAACTACCACCACATCTTTTTATCTATTTCTTGTGATGCTGAACTCCTTGGAGGACCTCTGACCCAGATTCTCATCTCGGTGGCGTCGTCAGGTTCTCGATAATTGCCATAAACACCTCCCGGAGAGCTGAGTGGCCCGGCAAAACTGTGAAGAGGGAGGTGGTGAGGGGGTGTGTGGAGGCGTGTGTTTAACTGTGTATACGTGTTCGTTCCCGTACAGATGTTTGATATCTGTAATAATAATAATTAATAATAATTAACGGTTTATTGAAAGAGCTTGGCAGCCAGAAGGCTGAAAATATACAGTTACATATTTAGGGAATGGGTTTCGAATTACAAATAATATACAAGTAACATAAGTGATACAAATAAGATATATAATAACTAGATGGGGAAAAGCTCAAACTACAGTTCATTTCAACATAGTGACAGTGCAAGGAGTAGTGTTTACTGGGAGTGAATACACTGGTTTATTACAAGTTATTGATAATTTTTACAATGGTTGGGACTGGGCTGTTCTTATAGCGATCAGTTCGTGCACGTATGGGCTGGATGCGGTTGTGGTGTCGAACAGCAATTCTCGGGCTAGGGCTGTACATTCATTTGTGTGTGTGTGTGTGTGTGTGTGTGTGTGTGTGTGTGTGTGTGAGAGAGAGAGAGCTCCTTATAGCCCACATAGACGCCACTGAGGATCGATTGTTAAGTAAGAGGAACAACTACTGGATTATGCCTGGTCCATAAACAGCTGGTGAGTGGCCCTCCTCTCCCCCAACACATCCTTCTCCTTCTCACCCTCCAACACATCCTCCTCCTTCCCTCTCCAACACATCCTTCTCCTTCCATCCCCAACACATCCTTCTCCCTCCTTCCTACCTCCCTCCCAAGGACACCCTCCATCTACCCAACACACCGTATTCCCCCCACAACCTCTACCTCCACACACCCCAACTCCCCAACACACACGCCCTTCATACCTCAAAACACCCTCTACCCCACACACACACACACACACACACACACACATTTCACCACCTAAAAGTACCTCTGGCAGTAAGCCCCTCAGGCAGATGTGAACAAAACTAAATGTAAAGTGTGTGGCCAGACATATGGCCACACACTCCAACACTACGTCTTAGACTGTGAAAAAATAGAACCTTATAGGGATAGATCCAAGCACACTGTGTATGTAATGACACAGCACTTTATCTCTGATGACAAGATAGCTGATATACTAAGGCTGTATCCACACTTCACATCTAGTACCTAATTAAAATTCTATGTACCGACATAAACAAACAATGTACTGGAAATACTTTGTAACATCATTGCCATAATATCAAAATCATTGGGGTCTGATAAACACCCTTTGTGACCTCTACTCTGTCATCTTTTTTGCGCTAACGCTCACAGGATGAGTATGGGGTGCACAATACACTAGCTGCTGTCCGCGGCAAAACTCCTTTCGGCCATAAAGAGATCGCCAGTACCATCACTCAATAGTGCCTAGTAAGGTTTTATTCCGTTCATTATTACACACAAACACAAGGAACTTACGCCAGACGAAGATATTCCCGGCTTCTACCAACGCTGGCAAGGTAAACACCTGTCCTTGGTACTTCCCCCTAGTAAGACACCTGCCCTTGGTACTTCCCCCTGGTAACACACCTGCCCTTGGTACTTTCCATGAGTAAAACACCTGCCCTTGGTACTTCCCCCTGGAAACACACCGGCCCTTGGCCCTTGGTACTTCCCCCTGGTAACACACCTGCCCTTGGTACCTGTCCATGGTACTTTTCCTCTGGTAACACACATGCCCTTGGTATTTCCCATAAGTAACACACCTGCCCTTGTTACTTCCCCCTGGTAACACACCTGCCCTTGGTACTCCCCATAATTAACACACCTGTCCATGGTACTTTTCCTCTGGTAACACACATGCCCTTGGTATTTCCCATAAGTAACACACCTGCCCTTGGTACTTTCTCTTGGTAACACATCTGCCCTTGGTAATACCCTTTGGTAACACACCTACCCTTGATATTTCCCATAAGTAACATACCTGCCCTTGGTACCTTCCCTTGGCAGCACACCTGCCCTTGGTATTTCCCTCTGGTAGCACACCCGCCCTTGGTACTTCCAATAAGTAACACACCTGCCCTTGGTACTTTCCCTTGGTAGCATACCTGCCCTTGGTACCCCTTGGTAGCACACCTACCCTTGGCACTTTCCTTGGTAACACACCTGCCTTTGGTACTTCCAATAAGTAACACACCTGTCCTTGGTAATTTCCCTTGGTAGCACACCTGCCCTTGGAACTCTCCCTTGGTAACACACCTGCCCTTGGTACTTCCCCCTGGTAACACACCTGCCCTTGGTACTTTCCCTTGGTAGCACACCTGCCCTTGGTACTTCCCCTTGGTAACACACCTGCCCTTGGCACCTACCTGAAGTTGATCCCCAAGGTAGACGAGCACTTCAATTTACCTGAAACACAAAAAATAACAATAATATATTCAGTCCTGGAAAACACAAATTGGACCGCAGATCCCACTCTCATTTCTCTTATCTAAAAGCAGCAAACATTTTACGCGCAAGTGAGAAGTAAAATGAATATAAGATTCCTTTTTCATACTATTCAAACTCGTCGACCATTTTTTGTATGCTAATTAAGTGAAAATTTTTCCACTCGGCTAAAAACGAACACTTGCACACAAACTGGTTGGTAGTCCATCGAGACTATAGTTAACCTGGAAATATGTAATGAAAGAATTCTATTATGATTTTATTTACCAACACTTAATTCACTGTCATACACTGTGGGGACCTCCTGGACTACTAAGACAGCCTCTGCTTACTGCCCAGAAGAAAGCTGTGCAGACAATTATCTACCCACACAAACCACCAGTTTCCTAAATTGAAGATGTTAAAATATGAGGATATTTAAATTTATTGTTGTTATGTATCTACTTACAAATCAGTTAATTTCCAGATAGACAATAACAGCTTCCAGTTTCGGACAAACCAGAGGTACAACTTAAGACACCCAGACCTAATAAGACACCCCCCCCCCCACAAAATGCTCTCCTCTCAGTCCCAGACCTCCATAAAACATCCTAGTGTAAAGGTGTGGAACAACTTACCCCCACCCGTCCCAGCAAAGACTACACACCCTTCCTCTGAATCACCTCTTTAAAGACATCCACAGTACTGTCTTAATAATAAGTGCTTTATCATTACCTCATCAAGACCATTATGAGGGATACTGATACGTTGATAAACCCACCATAACTAACTCTTCAGTGACCCTGACTATAACTACTATGTTAATGTGTTACTTGTTGTCTTACCCATGTTGTATTGTTACCACTCACTGATCACCTCACTGTATATCACTAACTCTATAGTAAAAAATAAATAAACAATAAATAAAATGTAAAAATAAATATACAAAATAAAAAAAATGTGAAATAAACTGATTCAATTTTAATTTCAAGTTATACGTTTTATTCCCATGTAAATTAAAGCTGTTATTTAATTCCTTACAATCGGTCAACATATAAACATATTTACACACAAACTGCTAATAACGAGTGTGGTCCAACGAGGTTATAATTAAAATTTATATTATACACGTAAATAAATTATCCAATTACTTTCCTGCTAATCAAAAGGACATAAATACAGTGAGTGAGTGAGTGTGACGTATCCACCACTCCCCGGGGATAACCAGTGTTAAAGGCCCTTCATAATTATTAAACTTCTAATTAATCTAGACAATCAATTTCTACCACTGAGATAATAATTGCCGCCGACAACTAGTTTCTTTATACAGCCAGACCCACGATAAATTAATTAAATAATCCTTCGGTTATAGGAGTGTTATAGAGCCTCGTAGACTTATTCTTCACGTAGATTGTAGTTTATGTTCACTACGGCTACTGGTGGGGGGGACTGACAGAGCCAACCAGGAAACATGGACAAAATATCGAACTCATCAATAAAAACTAAGGGGTCACTTGAACATTAAGCACCCCAGCTTTTTTTCACCTCATGATTATTTTTTTTTACTCTAACGAAGTCTAACCTAACTAAAAACTTTAAATAGTGCTGTTTGGGTGTTTAAACCTCAGTTGAAATAAGCTAAGGTGCCTAATTATCAGGAGAAATAAGCTAGGGTAGCTAATTATCAAATGAAACAACCTGGGGGTATCTAATCATCAGCTGAAAAAAGCTGGGATGCTTAATCATCAACTGAAATAAGCTGGGGTGCCTAATAATCAGGTGAAATAAGCCGGGGTGCCTAATCATCAACTGAAATAAGCTGGGATACCTAATGAACTAAAATAAACTGGGGTTTCTAATCATCAGCTGAATTAAGCTGGGGTGCCTGATCATCAACTGAAATAAGCTGGAGCACCTAATCAACTGAAATAAGCTGGGGTGCCTAATCCTCAGGTGATCCAAACAAAATCACATCGCCGTGTACCAATAGCAATAACTTCCTAACACCAAGTAACACAGAAAAACATAATCAATAGTAAGAAAAAAATCCTCTCAGTATTAGGACGAAGGAATGAACAGTAAGAAGAAACAGAACAGCGAGAAAGAGAACATGTGCAGCAGAGTAGTGCATTTACGTTGGTGGTGGTGGAGAAAAGAGAGTGAGGGATGAGACAAGATAGAGCAAACTATGATAAAGGAAAGAAGAGAAGACGTGAAAAGAAGTGAACCAAAAACAATAATGTCAGATTAACTCCAATAATAATAGTAATAATAGTAATAATAATAGTAATAATAGTAATAATAATAATAATAATAATAATAATAATAATAATAATAATAATCACAGATGACATACCACACTTCATCCCGGACTCGTTATTGCCACTGGAACGCGAAATCCCGAGCGCTCATGATGTTATTTCACTGCTGGTGCTTCCGCTTTAACTTTATGAACAGATGAAGGTCCTAAAAAAGTCTGATCACCAAACTTGAAGAGATTTCACCCAATAGTTTCTGAGATATAATTTTAAAAAAAATCAACTTCATATGATCATTGTGACTTTGACCTTTGACCTATCAATGTTAAAACCTTATGTGGCACCCCAACTGGTCTCAGGAGTTAATACGTAAAGGAGATATGATTTATGATGCATCCAAAAAGACAGTTTTATCGACAAATCGTCATCCTCGACGTTATGATCATAAAGAATAACGTCAATCACACTCTTGAGCCGTACTGCACGTGGAGGGAGGCAGTATTACCACAGGTCTTCTCCGATGCCTCAGTCCACAGTGATCACGAAGAAGTGTTTTGTGAACTTTGGATGACCTTCACCTTGAGTTTGACTTCCCCAAAATGTTTTATGTTTACTGTATAACAACTTAGTTCATCCTGGACGTCTGGTCAGATAAAGTGTTGGTATGGTTGGGATATGTTTCACTACAGTACATAGTAATGGTGCAGAAACAGATACAGACAGACAGGAACATTTCAATAACTCGCAAACCTCTTGGACGAAAGGTAATTATAACATCAACACCAATAAAATTAACAAGAAGTACAATAACAGTAATAATAACAACAAATTAACATAACAATAGACTAAAAAGGGCGAAAATTAAAATATTGTTTATCACTGAACCAAAATTTTGTTTCTTGGAAAGACGAAGATTTTATGAAAACCTCAATGTTTAAACATCCAACAACACTGATAAGAACCTGGTGGTGATGGTGATGGAATACGAAGGGGCCTGAAACAAGGCGATTACGACAATAAGTTAGTAATGGTGATACTGATAACTGTAAAAAGATGGTGAGGGTGAACACACACACACACACACACACACACACACACACACACACACACACACATCCCCTTCCACGACCACCATTGCCACCTCAACCACCACCACTACCACCATTACACCCAATCTTCCATCACCACAACCAGCATATCTTTACAACCTCTACCACAACTCCCCACTACCAAACCACCACCACACCACCACTACCTCTCACTACTACTACCACACCAACACAGAGCAAGTAGAACTAATAGTTATGGTTTACGGCATAAGTTTACACATAAATTCAAAAGACAAGTTTACAGCTGAAGTTTACAGTGAGTGTGTACATATACCTCCCACCTTCACCTTTAATACGCCGAGTCAACAACACTTTTAATATTTCGGATAAACTCTTAACATTTCAGATTCACTTTTAACATTTCAGAAAATTACTTAATATCTCAAGTAAAACTATAGTAATATTTTGGATAAACATTTAAAAACAAAAAATCCAAATGTGTTAAATTTAAATGAAGCTTCAAATTAAAATAAAATTAGAATATGTGAGGATTTCTTGTCTTAGTTATTGTCAGTTATGAAGTGCCAGTGAAAAATATAATTATCATAATGTGAAGTCGCCCTAAGTCTTATTGTGATACATAATTTAGTTAAAAATCATTGGTATTTGTTCGAGTTACTGTACTGACAACGTTGGCTACACGCACCCCCCTCCCACACACAGGACAGAAGCACAGGTGTAACTGCCAATGTACACCTCATCAAATAAACACGCAGCTGGTAAACACAAAACACAGACTAAGATTACCTGGAAGGGCTACAGTAGGTTAGATTAGCGTTATGGTGGTTAACATTCAACTAAAATAAGCTGGGGTGTCTAATCTTCAGGTGAAATAAACTGGGGTATCTAATTTTCAGGTGTAGTAAGCTGGGCTGTCTAATTTTCTGGTGAAGTAAGCTGGGGTATCTAATCTTCAGGTGAAGTAAGCTGGGGTATCTAATCTTCAGGTGAAGTAAGCTGGGGTATCTAATCTTCAGGTGAAATAAGGAGTGTCTATTCTTCAAGTGATCCGGAAAAAACTAAAAACAAAGCAAACAGGACAAATTAACAATGAAAATTTACTTACGTCATTAGTACATAATGTAAAGGTAACACACGAAGGTATAAATCAACACACCCCAACACCCTGGTGTGTGCTGCCAGGCTTATGGGATCTGGTCCCGCTACACCTGTATAGCTGTGTTGTGCCGTACTGTACCTGCTGGTTCTGTTACTTATATACCTGACTTTATTAGTGTTAATCTTTTTTTTAGATATTGTTATTATATATTTGTTACTTTAATTACGATTCTTGTTATTATTATTAGCTTTGTTCTTATCATTATTATTATTATTATTATTATTATTATTATTATATCACGACTTGAGGATATAGGAACGGTGTTGTACTGTACGTCCTTCCATCAGCCCATCCGTCCTCGACACTGTGACAGTCACGCACATCGCACATGCTAAGCTCGCTCACCTCCGATTTTGAGGGAAATTAATCCATTTTTAACTTATGTACCAGATATCGACCAGTAAACTAGTTAGCACTGTTATAACAAGGTGCCTGCAGAGGTATAAAGCCTTCAGTCACCGGAGTAACAAAACACATAGTAATTCCCCAAGAGAC